TTTCACAAATATTTAAATACAAATGTATTACGAGTTCTTCAAAAACACATGACAATATTCTGAAATTATGTAGAAAAGTAAGGTATTCAAAGCAACAAGAAGACAAAATACCTGCTATTAGAGAAACCGAGGTAGAAAACGATTCTTCCTGAAAATGGAGCAATATGAGCCCAGAAATAGCGACATAAAGTTCTGACGTGCTAATAAATCGATAAACTCTAAGAGAATTAATGAGATTCTGTTATCTTTTACATAAGAACTTATTTTTATTTTCTATTAAATGCAGCATCCATTTCTATCACTCCTTTTAAAAACACCATTTATGGCAAAATTTGTTATGTCTATGGCTAAGCTCAGACTGCAAAAATTTTAAATGAGAATGTTATCAGGTTCAATGTTTCTTCTAACCTTCTTCGGAAACATACAAGGACCTGACTAGGAACAGAGAACTTACTAAAGCTATGTTCACTAATTGTAGTAAGTAGACAGGATACAGACGAAGGGTATACAAAACCCTTTATTTTTTTCTTTATATACAATGACTTCCGTACTTCTTCGGAATACAATGACCCTCCACTCGGGGTCTAACGTAAAAGATATCAAAATAAAACTAAACTCTAATTTAACTTTAGAATAAGATTGGCCTTATAATAACAGGAAGCGTATGTAGCACAGAGACTGTGAACACTACAATACGTTTAATTTATCAAGAGGATTAATACCTCTGGCCTGGAAGGCAAATAGCAACTGCGTAACTTCTAAGGTAAGCGGCCTGCTTCAAAACTCACTGCTTCCTCTCTCTTGCTTGGCAAAAAGGCCACACTTAAATACTTGGCGTTCGCCAGACAAACTTTGCATAAAATCCTTCACGCTTATAATTCTGGCCGGAAGTAGAAAAATAAGAAGTGATAGTAAAGATTTAAAATAAAATAAACGTTAGTAAAACTTAAGATCCTTACAATGTTCGGGTTTTAATTTTTTAATTCAATATTTTGCTTCTTTGCGTACCACCTATTTTTCTCTTGCATGCTACCTGTTGAGAACTCCTTTTTTATATGAAGAACTGTATTCTTTTAAAACACTCGATCGTTACTAAAAATTTTTAATTTTATTCCTCGGCTAGAGAGTACTTTATTTTTTAAGTTTTCAGCATTTGATAAATGGGTCTTCGTAATCTCTAGACACTTGATTCTATTCTATAGGTTGATGACAGTCTTTTCAGCCAGCATATCTGAGATATTGGGAACTACATAAAAGAATTATTTCTTCCATTTTTACATTAATAGAGTTTTATTTTCAAGATCTATGGGTATATGTAGGGGGGGCAGGTACTACCCTCCATATACTGTAGATTGAATATACGGGCTGGTAAGAAAAGTTGCTTTACAGTGTAGTGCTATAGCTATATGAATTTTCTTCATATTGTATAAAAATCACCAATACTATCGCTAATATTATTCTTCTAAATACTGACTTAATTCATAATTTTCCTTGATGTTCTCTTTAATACGCAGCATTTAGTAAATGAACAGTTTATAAACTGTTTATCATTGCTACTTGTAGGCTGCTGATAAGCAGATGAGGAGTGGTTTTATTGAAAAAAATTCATTTTAGTGAATATTACGCATTTTGAAAAATAATTTGCTAGAATTATTTTTAAAAAAATTCAATGTTTCTAAGCATATTTCTACGATCTAAGGGATGTGATGATAAATTAATGTGATACTGCACTGCCACCACAGAAGTTAATTTTTAGACTCTGAATATGCAATATTTAAACATAATAGCTTTTGCTTTGCTCGTGATGGTGTTAAAACTTACGGTTTATAAAACTGGCAAAATGCATAGTAAATTTGACAGTTGGGTCTCTTGTTTTGAATAAAGAGAATGTAATCCTTATTAAAAATGCATTTTAATCAGTATGCCATGTTGTGTAATGTATGGAAATATCAAATAATAAGAAAATGAAATTTGGGAATACTTAAGTGACAAACACAATTAAAGTGGCCTTACCTGGTCTTAACCCCCCTCATAGAATATCACCAATGTTGCTCATACTTGTCTTAATCATACAGCAGATGCTGATTAATGGTAGATGAAAACCTGAAGCCTAAACTTAGTAAAATTAAAGTTTATTAAACTGCAAAAGAAATGTTGTTGGAGAAAAAAAAAAAAAAAAATAGTTCCATAATTTATAAGACTGAGTAAGAGAGAAAAATGGCTTTATTAAACTTTACAAAATATTTAATAACAATACAATAACAATCAGTGTAGCAGATATTTTACCAAAGGTGCACTATTTTTACTTCTCGATGTAATGCCACTTTTAAAATTTAACCAAATAACTGGGACTTAAATGACAAACTGTTCAGGAACCTTATGATCAAGTGGGGACAGTCTCAGTCAAAGCTGGATCATGTCACACTTGTTACACTTTTAATAAATTTGACTCTATTATTGTGTGAAACAAATCTACAAAATCTTCTAAGCCAGTTTCAGAAAAATGCATCTTACCACAAAATTCAGGTCGGTGTGGAAGCTCTTCCGATTTCGGACCGTTTTCCCGCCAACCCGATTTTTAATGGATTTGTCCTGACTTTTTCTTATTCTTAAAATTTCTCTCAATTTTTATGTATTTTGGCTTAATACTTCGTTCTTTGCACCAAAAAAAGTGATTCTTGCCGTCACTTATGTTTTTCTAGATTACATCTAAAAGAAAACCAAATTTGTTTTGTCAGTGAGAAATTATGTGGTATTTCTGCTTTGTGAGTGAGACCACATGTAGTCAAATGTTATGTTCCGGTTCTCCAATCTGCGTCGAGCGCCAGTGCATATCATCTGGCATATATTAGCCAATGAGCACAAACCAAGATCAAGGCGTATACAAAGAATATGTATTAGACGTTTTTTGGCTCTTATTTCGTCCATCTTGTCGTTGACCGGTGTGAGCACATGTGTTTTCGAGAAGTAGTTTAAGAAATTATGATCTTTTGTGTTAGTTATGTCTGCAAAAAAGGTAAAATGTACTTTTCAAAAATCATACATAGATGACTTTCATTCTATTATTTCCTCAAGGAAATGTAATACATTTGTGATGTCTGTTTGTGATTGCATTTTTTCAATTTCACATGGTGGAAGAGCCGATGTTCTCAAACACTTGCGTACACAAAAAACATAAGGATAACAGGAATTCTGTTGAAAGAAACTAAAAATTAGATTTTACTCTGGAAACAGAGGACCAAAAAGTTATTAATGCCGAATGCATGGTCTCTATTTTTTACTTGTGCACAACTTGCCACTGAATGCATCGGATCATACTGCAGCTTTATTTAGAAAATTGTTTTCTGATAGCAAAATCGCTAAGAAATATTCAAGGATCAAAACAGCTGCAATTGTTAAAGAAATAAGTATGAGAAATAAAGCTTCAGTTATTGACTGCATTAAAACAGCTCCATTTTGCCTCTCTACAGATGGAAGCAATAATACCGATTCAGAACTGTATCCAATTGTTGTTTCTTATTTTAATTCAGTTTCTTCAGAAATTGAGTGTAGTTTACTTTCTGTTCCCACCTTAGAAGGACATTCGACAGGCTTTAATGTAACACAGTTAATTATTAAAATTTTAAACAAAAATGCAATTCCTCTGGATAATTGCTTGGTGCTGATGATGCACCAGTAATGTGAGGTTTGAAGATTGGTGTTGCAGGTATCTTAATAAAAGAAGATTCAGATTTTAAAATTATGAAGTGCATCTGTCACCTCTTAAATTTAGCAGCTTCTTTACCAAATAAATGTGGACGAACACATTGTTGATATTTATTATTATCTTGAAAGGAGTTCTAAAATCTGCGACATTTGCACGAAAACTGGTGAAAGTATTATTTTTTCTTACAAGATGCAAATAATAAAGGTTTTTACAAGTATTTTCGTACTGTTTACATTTAAGAATTAATAGCTGAATTTTCAGATACTTGTTTAAAGTTCATTATTAAAATGTATTTTATTTATATTATATTCCTTATTAAAAATATATTTTTAACATTTAAAAAGTCTTTTTGTCATTCAGAAAAATCTCTTGATTTCTTAAAAAAATTTCTCGATTTTTGAGTGTCTTAGGTTGGCAAGTCTGCATTTCCGATACCATTTAACTGCTGGCTATATTTGCTTTTGTAATACATATGAAAGTTTATTCTCATTGCATAATAAGAGTAGAAATTAGCAAAATAGCATTTATATTTTCTGTGAAGTTTTATATATTAATTTCTATATGAAAACCACTTGGAGGATTGCAGAAGTATTACACTGGTACACATGATTGTTAGGAAACTCATTAGTCCACCTCCCTTTTTAAAAGTTGGAGTGATCTTATTCTGCTGCAAGTGTTTTCAGAATTTTTCTATTGATGTGTGAAAACAAATCGGACTTCTGCAGAAGATTTAAGAAACTGAATTTCTAAAGACAAATATATACTCCTCACGTAAATAAATATACAAGAATATAAACAGATGAGATCGGTCCTTGTCCTCGCTCGTGTTATCACATTGTTTTTTCCCCTATGAAACTTCATGTTTTAAGTATTAATTTTTGATAGAGTATATGTAATTGCTACATGATTACTAATGACTTTTTCACACGTAAGAACAATTTTCAATGACAAATATTTAAGTGGTTCCATGTGAGCTTTAGAGAAGTAATTTTGATTTTACAGGAGACTTCTAGAGATTTTTCATGTATATAGAAAGTGTATAGTAAGATAAATAAGAAAGTAAATATATTGTTTCTTACTAAGAAACTTTAGCTGTGTGTTTTCTAGATACTCGTGTTCAAATGTGCGTGTCTGATCAAATTTTGTAAGTTTGGTTTAGATCTGTGAAGTAATGTAGATTGCTACAAGGGATTTATAACCATGGAGAACTCAAAACAATATATATATATATATATATATATGATAAAATATTGGAATAAATTATAATGTTCCATGTTTGTGTAATCCATTTTAGGTATCTAAGGTGACCAAGCAGCCATCAGAAAACAAAAAGCATGTGGCGAATAAAGTGCATATTAGAAGCAAATCAAAACGAAAGACTGAAACTTCTGAATGGGAAGATAATCATTGTTTCGTTTGTAAAAGTCCTGGATCTCTTATTTTGTGTGATAGGGAAGGATGTATAAGAGCTTACCACATTCGTTGCCTAGGGCTAAACGATGTACCTGCAGGTAAGTAAGAGTTCTGAAAATTCATTGTATAATTTATTGTACAAGGAAAATAAAAAGTTATGCATGCATATATTTTTTCCAGTGTATGTACACAAATTAGGAATTAAGTGAGCACTTAATTTTTTTTTTCATAGTTTCTTTCCTTTTTCCTGCCGTTATACCAGCTCACAAGCTTGTATGCTCCTTTCAGGAGAAAAAAGTTTTGTTTGGTCGTGCAATCAAAATGCAGGCAATAATCATGAAACAGTAGCATTTTCATTGGTAATGGGCCTCAGTGTTTAGTGCAATGGTAGCACAAAGGTAAAAATGCATGTGCAGAAGGCAGTGTGAGATATCTAATGATTATGGCAAAGCTAGGGATAATTTTTGATTTCCATGTTCAGCATTATTGATACAGCCCCATTAATAGCTATTAATACTTTATAGCTCTTTTTTTATCTAATTTCAGATAAGTTTTTGTTGCTAAAAATTGACTTTGTGTAAGGTAGTTATCATTAAATGCTGAAAAAGGGAGATCAAATTACGTTCTTGACTTCAATTAGTTTTTTGGTAAAAATTCATGAAATTTAACTGTATGCTCAGATAATATGTTCATAGGACATGCATATTTTTTTAACCTTCCAGCACGCACACGGTGCACAAAATGTACGACAAATTTAATTTTTAATGCATGCTTCTTGCATATTGCAGCTGAGACGTCGGAATGTCATTTCTATTCCTCCTTTCAACCCTTCCGCACATCATGGAATGTGCCAACAGAAAGTCATATGGCATTTTTTGTTTTATTACTGGGCTTTTGCGCTACGTGGCAGCTTCTTCGTAAAAGTTACGACACACGCATGGCTAAAAGTTCTGAAAGTATTTTTCTCAAATATTTTGTAATTTAGTGTTATTAATTGATATGTATTATTTTAATTTGTATAAATCCTACTCTATAATTTTTATATCGGGTTTTGTGGCAAAAAAATATGTGCAACCAGTTGATTTTGCTCGCATTCTTTAAGAATTATCTGATGAAGAAAAAGAAGACAAGGAAACCTTTGGGTGCGAGAATAATAGCAATCTGTGCGAGGAAAATATTGAGATAAATAATATCAGCAGTGAATCTGAACATTATATTTCAGATGATGATAGTAATAATGATATAGAAAAAATGGAAGGCTGATGATATATTCTATGTTAGTAAGGATAAATCTTCTTAGTGGCAAAATCAGAAGTATGTAAACTGCTCAAAGACAAATAAGATGAATATTGTGAGTGTTACCTGGCCTAAAACACCATGCTATGGATATAAAGGATGAAATAGGAACATTTTTTAAACTAGTTAATATAAATATGCTTGATGAAATTTTGGAATGTCAGGTAAATATACAAGCTTACTAAAAAGGCAAAATACTCGAGAGAGAGACTGCACTGTTACCTGAATGGAAATGATGGCCTACTTTGAATTGTTATATATAATAGGAATAAAAATAGGATACCATGTAAATGCAAAAGAATTGTTCTCAAGTGGGTGGTATTGGAATTGAAATAACAAGAGCTGAGATGAGCTGCAAGCGATTTTTATTTCTGACAAGTTATCTTCGATTCGATGATAAATCGACAGGACAGATGAATAATGAAACTAGCTTGGATTTTAAAATGCAGTTATTAAATAATAGCTTTTTAAATTTCTACAGTAAAATACATCATTGCTTTTCCACCGGACTGATATAAGCGTTTAAAAATAATTTACTATCATTTAAGTGTGATATCATTTGCATTTTGCAATAATAAGGCTAATATTTTGTGTTTTAACAAATTTATTACCAATATTTTTTTTTATTTCTGTCCTTTTTCGTGCCCAAAACTGCATTAATAACAGATGTAAAAAATACAACATGCGCTTGCTGGAAGGTTAATACTCACAACTAATTTTTAATATTCTGCATTTTCCTACTACTTAAAATTAATCAGTGATCACGAATTCATTAAGCATTTCTGTGTTTTATTGTGCCATGGTCTTCTCTTTTGTGTAGTATTTTTCCTTTGCCAAAGAAATTATTTCATATAGTGCTAGTGATTCAGGCGAGAGTTAAGCCGCATATAAGGCTACCTGAACTGGAAAAGATTGCAGTTGTCTAAACAAAATGACCTGCTTAGATAAGTTTTAAAAGACTTTGTTTCAAGCAATATGCACATGCAAAGCAATGAAAAAAAAGAATTGACGAAGCAAAGTAGCAGTATATGGTACTCAGAAAATAAGTGTGTGATCAGTATATACACATAATATTAATGGTAATGAACTTAAAATTCCTAAAAAATACGTTAGGTGCATGCAGTTGCTGAAATCAGTCAATTTATTTTTGCTTTTTTTGATGTTAAAATAGTACTATTGATATTAAAAAGAATCATACATTGTTATATAAGCCAAAAGGAATATTTATTTGATACCTTTATGACTAGGTTGCATTTTCATCTTTTCCATATTCTGAGATAAAAACTGTGTAATCACATTTTAATCTTTCTTTTTTTTCTTGATAATAACATTTTGGGCAAAAAAAAAAAGTCTTTAAAGCCCTTTTTACTGGGAGATAAAGATATACTGTTTTTCATGAGATAAAATACAAACTTATCAGACATTGAAAAAAATTACTTGCTTCATCATAACTAGTAAAATGCTGAATTGCTTTAACCATTATGGATAAAAATAATGCTTTTGCTTGTGTTACTTTCTTTCATTTCCCTGTATGGATTAAAACAGGTTTGATTTTGTGTGCCAATATGTTTTGTCTAGTACTTTTATCAAATATTTTATGCTTGACAGCTTTATGTATCATTTTACTTTTTCTAAGAGCAGAACCTCACACAGGAAATAAGTTCTTAAAAGCTGTGTAAAATGTGACATCTTGGTGAGAGCTCATACTTTTGTACACAGTAACTGTAAAATATTTGTTGAAATTTGGAGTTCTTTCCTTTGAATTTGATTGCCTGCAGTGACAGATGCAGTAGCTTCAACCTGCATCTTTGATGATTCAAGAGCAAATGTAATTAAAGGCAAAAATTTATCTTTCTGATGATTGAAATCAAAGTTGTTTCCTATAGGAAATTTGCTCTCTAGCTTGTATGAATTTCCCTGAAATGGCTTTATATTTCCGATTAATTTTGTATCGTAGTAGTAGCATCTAAAATGTATGCGAATCTGAACAAAAATTTAAAAGCCAGATTTTTTTTTGTTAGTTTCATTTTCGCAAGTTTTTTTCATCAATAATAATACACCATTTCAAATGCAATGATTATAGCTTTATTTTGTGCTACATCTTTTCAGTGTACTTGTCTTTGGAGAGGACTAACTGTTTTTTCTTTCTACAGGTTGTAGAAATTTATGGAGTGATCTAATTGCCATTGACCTTAAAGTGTCATCAAAAGATCATTTAATTTTTTTTAATGCCCTTATTTATTTTGCACAAATATGTTTTGCACAAGCATTTTAATTTTCTGCAGCAGTGTATTTTCTTGATTAATTTTGTGGTTAATTTATTTCCTCAGCTTTTAAATTTTTTCCAAAATTAGCTTTCTATTCCTTTTATATATCTTGTCCTTTCCCGCAATATAGTTTTTAATTGCTTTCTCTGAGTTTGTAAAAGAAAAACCTTGTTCTCAAGGCCAGACAATTTCATCCTTAAATAATTAGCATGTTTCCGGAGGCTGATGCAACATTGGTGAGTAACATTATTTTCATCAACTCATGGATGTAGTTATTTCAAAATTCCACGCATGCCTTTCTGATAATTATTTTGTGAGCTCAGTCAAAAGTATTATGCAGAATTTTTCTGTTGTTTTTGTTGCCTTAATGTATTTGGATAAATAATCAAGCCAGTTTCATTAATGAGGCAATACCAGCATTTATACACTCACGTTTGTGAAAATTGCAACACCAAGAAGGAATCGTCATGATTGAATGCAATTTAATACACAGTTGAGTGGTAGTGGGTACAAACTCGTAAATTGCAAACAAACAAACCAGAACAAGATATCAATCGTATTTTGTGTGGCACCGCGTCCTCAATCAGTGCTGCTAAACGACGTGGCATGGAGTCACAAGTTTTGAATGTCGACGAGAGAGCATTCCATCGTTGTACCGTCCCAAAGTCGTCTCAAGCACAGGACGAGGATCCGAGCAAACGCCGCCAATGACACCCACACATGTCCATGGCACATATCCTGGAACACACACGCCAGGAGAAGCTGTACCTGCGCGTGCAAAGAAGATTTAACAATCCAGCATATGAGGCGGGCATTGTCCTGGAAATAAAGCGCCTGGGAAGCTTTGAGGAGGGAACGCTTCGGGCTGTATACTTCAGGATATACCGGTTGCTTTAATTGCCCACAGTTCGGAACAATTGAGATCGTCTATATAGCTAGGCCCCAGACCATAACGCCGGTGTTCGCCCTTTGCTTCGTAATTCACTCCCGAAGTGGCGTTCACCCGCATAGCGGCTGACAATGCGGCCATCATGGTCCACAAATTAAAGCGGATTCAAAAACCGACTGCTGCCAATCACACGCCATCTCTATGCTGATTGGCCCATTGTAAGCCGCAGCGGCGATGGTCGTGCTTAGGGGGATCCTGTAAAGGAGTCCGTGCGCGCAGTCCACACTGCAGCACGTCTACGAATTGAGAAGCACACAAGAACACCTGTAGCTATGACCACAGTGCTGCCAATTGTCTATAGGAAGCTGTACGGCCGTCCGCGCCATGCAGACCAGGTGTCTATCATCGCGAGCTGACGTCACATTTCGGGGTCCACTCCCGGATTTCCGAGTTGTCCGACACCGTCCCGTCAACTGCTCCAAACGTGCATCATGTGCTGTACGCTGCACACGAGGGCTCTGCACGATACACATCCAGCTTCACGAAGGCCGATGATTCTCCCTCGTTCAAACTCTGTAAGTTTTCAATCTCGCTCTCTTTCGTCGACAGGCATAAGTACAGATTGGTTAACGTTTACCCTAGCAGATAACCACCTATAACCATACACGCCTCGCTACAGCGTCTATTATTCGTATCCCACAGCCGTTCAAGGGTTCTGCTCAGCATACGCATGCGCTACGGATTTGCAATTCTAATCATTTGCATTTCCTGAAAATTTCAGCTCACTCGCGTAAGTCCTTCATGGTGTTGCAATTTTCACAAACGTGAGTGTATTATCCTCCTAATTTGATATGTGTAACTACAGGAAACAGTGGTACAGAATGCCAGTTTTTTTTTTATCATTTCACATTGTTAACAAATTCTAAATAAAAGTATTATTTAGAATTATCCTGCGCTGTAATTTGAATATAAAAGGGACATCTTTCTCTGAATCTAAGATCTAAAGATCTAGACGTTTTTCTTGTGGATAATTTCTCTTTCTAGTGATGTCATCTAAGATCTGGTATACTCTTCGGGAATGTTTCTATAAGCATCTGTCTTCTCGAAGGGATATTCTAAATTATAATTTAAATTAGCATTAATTAGCTACCCCTCTATTCTAAAAATAGTAATATCTTTTTCACAATGTTATTTTTAGACTAGTCCGTAACATGACCCTTATGTAATTCTGGTTATTTAAATTAAATTCAAACATGAAATAACAATCATAGAAACAATACTCATTATTCAATAAAAAATGCATTGAGAACTGAAACTAACTCACTCTGAAATTAAGATTTCGTCCTGAACATAACACATGCTACACTTGCTCGCTACTCTTCGGCTTAAGTGGTCTGGTGTCTGCTGTTTCCTTCTTACTGCAAAGTTATCAAAAATGTAAACCTCTTGAAATAGGCACAAACAGTGTGCCAATTTGTTTGTGGATGCAACATGTTTACTGATAAAATGAAGATTTAAACTGCCTTTGCTGCCAGTTTATATTAGACTGGCAATTTCAGCTCTCTACAGTAGCAAAATTCATCCTCTTCATAAAAGATTGAATATGCTCTTTATGTTTTAGTCCATCAACATGTGCTATGTCTGTTTTTTGTTATGTACATACATATATATATATACATATATAATTTTGAAGAATAAATATTGTGCTCTGTCTTTTCTGGGTAAGGCACATGTGGAGTGGCAGTGCAAGTATATCATAGCAGATTTTCTCTTGAAGTGTATTCATTTAAAATTGGAATTGGGCAAGGTTCGAAGTTTTTGTCAATTTTTGTAGCATTGTAAATCTTTTCTGATTATATTTTTATTTAGGAATTATTGTCAAGTAAAGTTCATTTCTTGAATATCAAAATTTTTAGCTGATATATTTTGAGAATTTTTTATGAGGGGAACTTTGTTGAAATTATTATACAAAATTATTTATCTTTTCTAGAGGATTTGCAGATCAAATGTAGCTTTTAAAGTGCTAATCTAAAAATTCTGATGTTGTTTTTATAATATATTTATCTTTTTTATAGGAGATTGGATGTGTCCTTGGCATTTTTGCAGTAGCTGCTCTTTGGAAGCTTATTGTTTTTGTTCAAATTGTCCAATTTCGTATTGTCGAAAACATGTACCATCAGGCCTACTGATACGAGGCAGATCATTTAGATGTGGTAATTGTCAGAGACCTCATGAGGCTTGCCCTTCAACAGAACCTTCAGAAAGTCCAAATTCATTGGTTGCATTAGTGAGCCAGAGCTCCTCAGCTCCATCTCTGAATCAGTATCCAGGTAATGCAGACCAAGTGTCAGCTCACATTTTACAATAATTTACTAGAAGAAATAACATTAATGTGAAATGTCTTACAGGCGCATTTAAAAGCATAAGTCAGTATAAATGAGTTAAACAAATTATTACTTATGCTTAATCAAATTTTCTGTACAACATGCATTGGAAATGGTGTGTGGCTTAAGGCTCTCACTTTCTTGAGAAGACATAATTTTGAACTGAGAGTCTTTGCCAATTATGAAGCTGCCTTTTATCGAGAGGGAAAGAGTGTTTTAATGAAAATATATGCTAAAAGGAATAAAATGAACTACAGGCATATGGTGAAAAATTTTTGAACTGCACTAACTTCACAAAATTGATGTAACTGCAGTTGTCATTTTGTGTTCTCTAGATGTTTTCCTTATTACCGCTCTGTTTTGCACAGTGAGAATTTCTCTACCTTCTAAATTTTTCTAACACTTTTGTGATGGTGCTTTGTTGTTTAAAACGTTTAGTGGGGGCGAATGGGTGTTGAAATGAATCATCTGCAAAGCCTAACTTTAGAAAAAGATCTTAAAAATGAATCCTTACATCCTAACATCATAATTTTTTTCCTACTATTTTAGATTATTATTTGAGGAGCTATCATATATGCTAAAATTAGCATTTGGTAGTCTTTTTCATTTTTTTTGTACTTAAAGATATTATGTAAAGATATTTTTTTTAAAATAAAGGTTTCTTTGAGGAATAATTTTCGGAAGCACTATTCAAATTATTCCGAAATTTTAGTAGATAAAATACATTAATAAGTTTTAAAGTAATAAAAAATACAAGAAAGACTGTTTACTAAAAGTAATTAGATGTTTCATGTGAACTGCAAGGCAGACACTTAGTGAGCTCAGTCTCTGACAAAATGTCTGTTTCAGAATCATTAGAAATATTGCTCTCTTTAGAAAATGTATCATTACTCTCATTCGTATCAATAGGCTCATTTACTGTGCGAATATATAATTCATGTTATATAGATTGCTTGCTCGGCATAATAAACTGAATTAAAATTAATCTTCATTTTCATTTGTATCACCGATTGGCTCATTTACCATGTGAGTTTATATTTCATCTGATAAATATCAACTTGTTCGGTATAATAGTCTGAAGTGAAAGGGTTTCCAAAATAAAATAGAAGTACTTGAAATATAAGCAGAGTGAAGCATAATAGAGCCCTACATAGTAACCCTTAAAGAGCCTACATAGTAGCAAAAAGGATTTGAAGGGGTATCAGAAGCATGAATGTTTGTATCATGTTGTGAGTTAAAGAGAATAGCTGTGCATGTTTACATTAACCCCCTGATCTTGTAATGTTTTAAACGTTCCAGGACACTGGCACAAATGTGTGACGGCCAGTAGTGAACTAGAGAAGGCTTTGGCACGCTAGCACACTGCCTGGGAAATGAGTGCATTTCTTACTAGCACGTATGCACGATAGTTGGTGAGAAAGTGTTATATTGGTTAGTTTTTGCTTTCTACAATAGTTTCAAAGAGCAAGCTTGAAAAACATCTGACACTGTGATAAAGATGTAAAAGTAGTTGACTGTTCTTTCAAAATGTATTTCCTGTGTTTTATGTTATGCTTCATTGCATTTTTCACAAAAATCTGCATATTTTATTGTAAAGTCTTAATTGTGGATAACACTTCAGAGTTATTTTGCATATTATTTTTGACATGTTTGTGTTTTTAAAATGTTTTCTTTTCTGTATATTTGCTTTTCTTAAATATGATGTATTGTGTGTAAATATATATATGATAATTTAAAATTATTTACGTTGAGTTTCTGTTGGCATTTTGTGTAGATATTTTCATTTTGGAATTTTCAGTATCATGTAGTGCTTCTTAATAAAGTAGTTTTGTTTGTACAGAATTGTTGTTTGTTGCATATGCAGTGATTATAGTGCTCCTCAGTATCTGTCCGTGGCTTGCTGGGTTAAATCTCTAAATGACAGTGACAGTGTAAGCCAGGTTCAGAGCCTAACAAATGGGCCGCTTTCATTGAGTTCTTGTTGTTTTTCTCATTTGTAGTGTAAATATGAGCCAGTTTCCCTTAGCTTTGTGTTAAATAAGCTTAGCACATTTAGCATTCAATAGCTTAGCCAGTTACCTGTTGCAGTTACCCTTTGTGAAATCTTGCTGTTATAAATTTTCATTCTTAACCCTTTGACACGCGGTGGTCGTGCCCTGAAACCACCATTTTCTGAATTTTTTTTCTCCTCTTTTTTTCTGAAATTTTTCAGTGAAAATGAATTGATTACTGATCTTTTACATCTAAATAACACAAAATGACTGTAGAATCATATATGTTTTAGGTTTTAATACTTCAGTTCGGATGCCTTTTAAAATTCGTTTTCGATTAGATAAAACTTCCTTTTATTAATATAAACAACTTTAAATTTCAAAATTAGTCATCGCACATCATGATTTCTATCATAAACAATAAAAAATTGCAGTAATTAAACTGCATATATATAAAAAAACTTCTATATGTATGGCATTTGCTATGTGGTTTCAGGGCGCGACCACTGCCCCACTAGAGCATTGTGTCACAATGCTTACAATCCTCTAGAGGCTCAGTGGTGTCTGCTTCTCAATGGCATTCGCTTGCTTTTCAAATAGGAATGTTTATTTATACCCGGATATAGATAAAGGGCTTTGAAACCACAGAGTTATTTTATTACTAAACAATACATGCACCTGCCCTGTAAAAAGGTCTTTCTTTTCCCAATACTTTTCTCTGACATCAACACACTTGCTCCCCAAGCTAGTATTGTGATTTTATAAATTATTTCCTGTGGTTTAAATTTAATGTAAATATACTTTGCTATAATTAAAAATAGAAATTGCGTAGAAGTTTTATTTAAATAAAAAATATTTTCTGAATATTTTGGGACGAAATACGAATAAAATAAGTATGAATGAGACACAAACGATCCGTACAAAGCCGAAAAGACCAGGCCCCCCACCCCATTAACATAAAAAAACCACAAATTTCATGTGCCAGATGAAAAGAAACTAAATAACGCTGGACATATACCACTGAAATTTAAATCCAGGCAGTGTACATTTTGTAGCACAAGGAAGAAACCTCATAGAACAAGATGTATGTGCGAAACATGCAATGTGTGTCTATGCATGTGCCAAAGACACAAAACATGCTTTGAACAGTGTCACAAAAAAAATTGTTCTTTGAAATAAAAAAAAAACACTGAGTTCTTTTTTATCCTTATTTTATTGAGTTTTTAATCCATTTATCCAAATGTCCTTATTATGTAGGTACTTATATTTTCACTTCTATAGAAAAATTATTTAACCATTTATTTTTTAATTTTTCTGACGATTTACTTTGTAAAATAATGTAAAAAAATTATGTATAATGCAATTCTTACATACATTTTTTTAAAAATCTATAAATTTCGTCATTTATTGGAAACACGTGCGGAAAATGGTAAGTTTTTTTTTCTTACAACATCAGTAAGTTTCAAAGTCCTAGTCACAATGCGACCACCACCCACAGAACAATGGGCAAGAGTAGATTTTTTTTAATTCACATATTATTTGTCTCTAGGATCATAATATTCAATTTCTAGAGTTTTTAGTTAAAAAAAATTATAAAAATAATATCACGTGCCTCAAAGGGTTAAAGTAGAAAGATGAGTAAAACAGATACAATTCTGCTTTTTTCTTTTATGCAATGCTAGCCAAAAATTATAACCAATTACTTATGATGTTTAAGAAATTACAGTTTTTATGGGATGCTTTTATTTGCGATGAAACGTACAGTAAAAAAACAAATGTTTGATTTTCAGTAGCTAGGCATACAGTCTTACGTCAAACCTTTGTCAACCAAAACAGATGACAAATTTTTGGATTTGACATTTGGTCAGGATGCTTTGGCACTGTAGATTGTATGTCTTCAGATAGAAATGATACAGATAGAAGGTATGTGAGAACTTCTGTAGTACCACTGGTGATTGATGTATTTGGGTCTGTTTCATCATGTTTAAGATCAGCGAACATGTATTTGTAATATATCACCAGTTTGCGTGGAGGTCCCCTCCTCTTGCAGCAGCAATTTCTGTATAGCAGACACTCTTTTTATCAAAGATATTTTCCTTTGGAATATGGTTTCCGGTATGATTACTGTTCAGATTTTTTCACAGGTATTAAACATTTCTATGAATTGTTTTTTGGTTTCAGTATTTGCGATTTACTTGCCAGGCAATGATGGTGATGTTGTGCCTCTTTTTGGTTTACCACCAAACACGGCTTCAAAAAGCTTTGGTGTATTCTTTTGAGCTATTTCATATTTTTTGCCAATTGAATAAAAAAGCCATCTGTAAATTTATTTGTATTTTTATGGCTCATCCATGCAGTTATTTTCTTTGTTTAAAATGGCTGTTTGATTTGAGCCTTGTGTTTGACTGTGTCATGTCTTTCTGCGAACTATCTTAACATTGTTCCACATAGCACAAGAGGTGTGTCTTGATTACTGAATTTTCTGTATCTGGATGCAGTATGGATGGGGCATCAAATATTGGAAACATTTGAAGAGGGAGATATGTTACTCCTTCAGCTGTCTTAATTTTTATACGTAGTAACATTATGAACTGTGCTATCCCTATGTAACTGCAAGTCTGGCAGCTTTTCTTAGGTGCACTGTGTTTCATTTGACAATATTTGCATAAGTACAGCATTGCAGCTTCCTATGTAATATTGTTGTATATAACTTGCAAATGTTTAAGCATACATCTTCTTCGTCCGTTACCTATCCTGATGTCTTACAACTTCTGTACAAAATAATTTATATCATTTGAAACAGAATATTGTACCTTCATTTCTCCTGGTTCTAATGGCACAATTAACTTTTCGTCATTAATTTTTTAAAATATCAAAACATTTTAATCATCTGGAATCCTTCACTCGTTTTACCAGAAATTTTTCCAGAATGTATTTTAAAATACTTGTAAAGAATAAAAACAATGAGGTTTTTATTTAGTTACAATAAATGCAAATAACATTTGAAGATAAGATCAGGAAAAATCACACTGCTGTAGCTATTCTGTATAAATTGGGGTATCGGGTAAAAAATAAAATTTCCACCTTGCATGCACCAGCAAACTTTGAGTAAGACTTAGAAATGGTAGAGTAGTTGAGCGTGTCGCAACTAGCTGCCGCTTGACCTTTGTCGTGTCCGAACAAAGATTTTGGCACTTTTACAGCTTTCCTCTTGGCTTGTCATTTTGATCCCAACCAGAATTCACTGAAGAATACTGACATTCTCTAACTTCAGTGTTTTAGGGCAGCATGTACACACCATGATACTGAGCTAGTGTTTTCCAGTTACACTGCACATGAAACCTAATTTCCAGAGACAGGCTTACTACTTTAAGACAACGATGTGTATGATGATTTTCCTGTACTGCTTTGGTAAGATTATTCAAATGCATACTGTACTTCAAGGATAGGTCATTATTTTGTTGTATTTTTCATATTTGGAGCTTAACCTGCAGCTAGTGCTGCAAAATACACTGGGATACTTTGTATAACTCCTTGTATTATTTTTTGGATAATGGATAATATTTAGGTGTATTTAACACATCCTGCAGGTCATGTTTTGTTCCTTGGTGCCAAAATGTGCTTTACTCTTTGTCCACCATAATTCCTACACTTTAAGTGCCTCTGATTATAATTTGACTTATAAGATAGGAACCCTTTTTTGGCAATTCTTCATTTGTTTGCAAATTTTTTTCAGCGATATATCTGGCAAAAGACTAATCCATGTAAGTCAGCAAAAGAACAGACATTGCTAGTGATGTAATAAAACTTTCACGTTCTTGGTAGTTGTTTGTACTCAACGCTGGTGATTTACATTCAAGGATAGTAAACATTTTACTGAGATATCTTGTTTTAGTTGTACTCACAAATAAATAATTGACACTATTAGAGTTCTAGTTTTCATATTTATACAGCCACTTATATACTATATTGTTATTTCTTTTAATGCCATTTTGGGCCTTTAAGAGCAATCTGTTATGATCTGATACATTTTTGGAGGCCTGGGAACAATTGAATTTTTTACGATATAACTGAATGTAATTTCTTCACTTGATTCAGTTGGGCTTATTAAAGTTTTTCAGGCTTGCTCTACTTTCTTAAAATATGGAGACCTCTATTTCAGTTTCTAATTTTGTCTGTACAGTACTTTTATTTCTCTTTTCAGGTGAACTAACATTTAAATATGAATGCGATACCAGTTGTCAACAGAAATGCTTTCGTGACTCTGCGAATTGCAGTGGTATTGGGAGAAATTTGTCTTCGGTAAGTTTTATGCATTATATTATTATAGGAGTCTGCTTAAGTTTGTATTCAGTGATAATTTTTGATTTGATAATTTTCAGATAGCATAAAAATAAAGGAATCCCTTCTGTAACCAAATCTATCTCATAGCATTTCTGTTGTTAAAGAATATCATGGGTACTTACATTGTCATTAGGATACTTGTCTAAATTGATAACGTAATTATAGAAGTAATTTTGTTTTCATAATTATATACATAGCTGTTGCTGGTATTGTTACTGCAGTTGTCACTTTTCTTTTTCTTTATGTGAGGCATGTAATTCTTTAGCTGGAATATTTTAAACAGCCATTATAGTTTCAAGTATTTGAATGTTTCATTATTCCCTATCAGACTTTCTGATATGGTACATGCTTTGTTTTTTAACACATGAAATATTAAATGCGTGAAATACATTGCCACTGCAGAAGTTAATTTTTAAACTCTTGGTTAAATTCATCAGATATTGAAATAGTTTTATTAACTTAAACGTCTTTGCTGCAAAAAGTCTGCTATCTACGATAAAGTACTTCCTCGAATGTTAGAAGTGTCATGTACTTTTAAAATCAGTTTGTGCTTCCATGCTCAATCAAAGGCTTTCCTGAGGACCTGTGGAGCACTGCACTATGAAGGGTAGGTTCAAACTTCTTTAGCATCTCTTGCACTTTGACAGAAATACAGAACTTGATCCGTAGTCCTTTGGCCTCCTCTAAACCCAGACTGTATACAAGGTTTTAATTTTTTACAAATCTAGGTAGTATTGGACTCTTATTAAAATCAGGCATGAAAGTTTTCCGCGTTTTCGCGGAATTCTGCTTTTTTGAACGTCACCCGGGCTATTTCTGAGATTGATGTAGAACCGTTGAGAAATCGCGACCGGCAAATGTGTGTGTGTGTGTGGGGGGGTAAACGGAGGACACACTCTCTCCTCTTTTCTTTGTAAAAAAACTTTACATCATGCCAGAGATCGCAAAATACGTTGTTTTACATCAAGGCGAAGTAGGTGGGGCTTATGTGGAAAGGCGGAACTAGATGCATACGAATATTGAATCAAAGAAGAGCAAGCAACCGTCAGATGAGAGTTGACTTCAATAATTTCAGCGATCGGTGCTGGCGCCATCTGTCGGATGTACGAATAACCACTTGCATTCTCCAGTACACAAAACTCTATGTAAAAATTTAAAGAATGCTCATAAACTATATGTTGGAAAATATAACTTATTGTAAACCTTTTACTGCATCATCTCTCCTCCTTGAAATATTTATTTAGTTTAGTTCTTATTTTAATGTAATATAGTAGTTACTTCTACTTCTTTTTCTTGCTGCCACTGTTTGCATTGAGAACGGACTGTTTCAACCTAATTCAAATGCAAAAACGAAACGTGATGTTACGTCATCTGAAAAGCCGATTCGTGCCGATAGCTGATTGGTTGCTGTGAGATGACGTCATTCCTACTTCTGCTGTAAGTATCTCGTGTCGCTCTGGCTCAACCCTTCTAGTTCCTGCTTTCCTGGCACTTGAGTGAGTGGTTTCCAGCCCCTTCAGAAGGATGCATGCAGGCCGATGTATAAATTTCCTTGTTTCCTGTTTGCGGGATGGCTGTTCGTGAATAAAGTTCCTTGGTGCCTGTCCACGGGATAATTGTTTCGGAATGAGTTCCTTGGTTCATATCCATAAGATGGTTGTTCCAGAATAAAGTTCCTTGGTTCCAGAGGCTACCATGTGAGTGACTGCCGTGGGCAGCATCCATGTTTTTCAATGAAGGCGGCATTTAAAACATGTGAGCGGCGATTCCTCGTGCAAACGGAGTTAGGTGGGTTTTAAGTGCTTTCAAGAACTTCATTTAAATTTTTCAGGTGTTTTCTCAACCATTGATCATGGACGTTTTGAATGTGTAGCCAACTTCATTTTTAGGCCGCATAATTAATGTTTAGGACATTTTTGTTTGTATCGAATGCCAGTGTTTTGGAGACCAGGTAAAAATATTATTTGATGAATGATGATTATATTATATTTTTCCTAAGACTGATATTGTTTAAATTTATTTTCTGTTTTTTTATTCTTTATTATATTGTTAATAAATTGGTTAAGTTCAAAACCTTTTATTGTCTTCAATGTCTGCACAACATGATATCTCAGGGAGCTTTTATTGCTACTACTGCTAAATGTTTAATTTTTTTTCAAACTTTAAACTTTGCTTTAGCATCATTTTAGTTATGGGCCACCAGCCCGAGTTATTTTTAGTGCAGACTTTTGAAGTTTAGAGTTAATTTAGGACTTAAGAGATTGGGGGGGGGTTTTTGTTGAAATTCAAATATGGCTACTGTTAGTGTCATGCATAATATTGCTAAACTTGAGGCATGTAATTACTTTACATGGTCCAAAGATATGAAATTTGTTTTAAATGAAAAAAATGCATGGCTTTTGGTCAAAGGTATTGAAAAATGTCCTGATTTAAATGATGTTAAGGGTATTACAAAAGAAATTATTGCCGACTATCAAAATAGAAGTCGATTGGCATTATCATTAATTTATATGAATGTAATCCCTAAATATAGAAACTTGATATGGGAAATTGATGACCCGGTAGTGGCATGGAATATGCTTGCCAAATACTTCCAGCCACATTATCGGTCTAGACATATGTCCCTGTTTTCAGAGTTCTTAAATTGTAAAATTAAGCCAAATGAAAGTATTAGTTTCTTTTCTTCTAGATTAAAACGCGTAACTGGACAATTAGCTGATATTAATCAGGCTGTAAGAGACGTATATATATGTTTCCAGTTTCTTAGGTTCCTTCCAGATAAATTTGATCAAGTAGTTCAGAATGTTTTGAGGTGGCCAGATGAAAAGTTCATTTTTAAAAATGTTGAACTTGAAATACTAGCAGAGGAAACGCGTCTTGGTTTAAGAGAGATAGATAGGGAAATTTCTAATAAGACTATAGAAGTCCAAAGTGCTAACTGTGAACACAAATTTAAGCAGATTAAAGGGCGCAAGTGTTATAAATGTGGCCGTCTAGGTCATATTCAGTAATACTGTAGAATGAAAGGTAATTTTTCCAAATCACCCTCACCTGCTTCTTCTGTTTCCTCAGCTGTATCTAGTGGTAATAAAGCATCTCCTAAGTGTAAGAATAAACCCAAGTTGAGTAAAGGTAAATATAATTCCCATGCTCAGTCCCATTTTATAGCTCAAGCCAATGTTAACAATTTGGAGGAAAATGATGATAGTTGGATATTTGATACTGCTGCATCTCATCATTTTTGTAAAAATCGTGAATTGTTTGATACTTTTTCTCCTGTGAAAAATGAGAATATGGTAGTAGCTATTGATGGGGTAACTTTTCCAATTCATGGGAAGGGTACTGTTAAAATGAAATTTGGGGATACGGTTATTTTGCTTAAAGATGTGTTATACTCACCTGAACTGAGACGAAATTTAATATCTGGACCTAGGGTGGATATCAATGGAGCGAGATTTTATGGTAAAAATGGGCAAATTAAAGTTACTGATGATGAAAATGAAACTTTGTACAAGGCTAAGTTGATAGGAAGTAACTATCATGTATTCCTGAAAATAGTGAAAAAGGGGGGCAAATCTGTAAAATTTGAGGCATCCACAGTTCAGCATAACAATAGTGAGTTATGGCATGGTCGGTTTGGTCATATAAATTATGGTGCTATAGCCAGGACTAGTAAGAGACATTCAGTTCGAGGTCTTCCTGTGTTAAAGCACTCACCTAATTTGTTTTGTGAACATTGCCAAATCAATAAGCAAAGACGAATCTCCTATAGACCCTTAGAAGGTATTCAAGTAAAGAGGCCGCTTGAAAGGGTTTTTTCTGATGTATGGGGACCTATTAACATTCCAGGTAGGAATAGTGAACGTTATTTCGTTTCCTTTATTGACAAATATTCTCATTACATGGTATTGTACCCCATTGTGGAGAAAAGTCAGGTGTGTGAAGTATTTGAAAGGCATATAGCACGTGCGGAAAGATCTTTGAACCTTAGGTTGAAATACTTTAGGACTGACAATGGGCGAGAATATGATAATGATCAATTCAGGTCATGTAATAAAAATGGTGTAAAGCACGAATTTACAGATGTATATACTCCAAAACAGAATGGAGTTTGTGAGAGATTTAATCAGACAGCTCTCAACAATGTACGTGCAATCTTACATGATAGTGGAATGAGTTCCGAATTTTGGTCAGATGCAGTAATGTATTTTGTATATTCATTTAATAGAATTTGTCATAAGGGCCAAGATAGAACTCCATTCAAATTGTACACTAAGCGGAAACCATCAGTACGTCACCTTAAGGCATTTGGAACGATTGCCTATGTGGGAATTCCAAAAGCTAAAAGAAACTTCTAAGCTTGATCCAAAGGCAACGAAAGGGCCGATTGATTGGATACAGTGTACGAACAAAAGGGTACAAGATTTGGTTGGAAAATGAACGAAAAAGGTAGTAGAAACCCTAAACGCTACTTTTAAAGAGTCAGTTGGAATGCAGAGAAGTTGGCAGTGGAGCTGCACTGGGCACCCTTCCTTGATTTGGAATCTGAAGAGAGGGTAGAGTTCCAATCTACTGATACTCCAGTTGGCTATTTTCCTGAAATAGAGGAAAGAATTGATACCAGTGTACCTTCTTCTACAATTGGCACTGACCCTCAATCTACATTGAGACAAGTAACTTGGCTTCGTAAACCTGTTCCAAGGCCGGACGGCACTCGTACGAATGTGTATTATTTTGAGAGGGGGTATAATCAAAGACTACGATCGCCAAATGATGTAGAAAGGTATTGCACTGAACATAATATTCAGTATGATCCTACCTTGTTTGATTTCAAGGGAAGCAACACTTATAGTGATGAAATCGCCCCAACTGGCACTCTTTCAACGTCATATACCCGAGATAGCTGACTAGAGGTTTCAATTCCAAACACTTATAACCAGGCAATGTAATCCACAGAAAAGCTTAAATGGATAGAGGCAATGGAAGATGAAATCGCCAACATGCGAAAGCATAAGGTATGGCATCTTGTTCCACTTCCTAAAGACAAGACTCCACTAGGTTGCAGGTGGAAGAACATTTTCAACATTAAACGTTAAACGACGAATTTGGAAACATTGTTCGTTTTAAAGCTCGTTTAGTGGCTCAGGCTTATCGGCAAATTAAATACGATACCTATGATGAAACCTACTCGCCTGTAGTCAACTTTTCAGTAATAAGGCTCTTTTTCTCCCTTTTAGTTGCACATCTTGGATGGGCAAATACACAATGCAACGTAAAAAGTGCCTATCTCTACGCTCCTTTATCAGAGGAAATTTGCATCTCCCAACCTCAGGGTTTTGTAGAGCGAGATAAAGAAACTTTTGTATGTCGTTTAGATAGAGCCTTGTATGGTTTGCATCAGAGTGGCCGATTATGGTACTACGAGTTGGATAGAACACTATGTAACCTAGGGTTTATCAAGTTTGAGTGGTGCAATTGTGTCTATCGTTTTAAAGATTTTGTCATTCTGTTGGTTTATGTTGATGATATAGTTGTGTTTGGGAAAAGTGAAGTTCAGGCTAAAAGGATATTAAAAGTCCTGAGTTCACATTTCGATTTGAAAATTTTGGGTAAAACAAGAAAAGCTTTTCTGGGTGTGGAATTTGAATATGAGAACAATAGTGTTTTAATTCATCAGCAATTATATATAGAAGACATAGTTGATCGATTCAAGTCTTTTAAAATACAAATTACTTCCCTTCCAATAGTTAAAGGTGTGAAATACTCAAAGTCTCAAAGTCCCAGTACACAAGAAGAAACGACTGAAATGATGAATTATCCTTATAGAAATGTTTTGGGATGTCTCTCGTTTCTTTGCAATCGTACTCGTCCGGATATAGCTTATGCTGTTAATATATTTTCTCAGTTCCAAAGCAATCCTGGTAAGTTTCACTGGGAAGGATTGCTTAAACTTTTAGGGTACGTTTCCAATACCAGGCACCACAAACTTAAACTGGTATGCAAGGAACTGAAGCTCAATATATATTCAGATTCGGATTTTGCTACAAGCAGGGATGATATGGTGTCTATTGTTGGACAAATAGCTTTGTTGGGAGAATTGGGAGAATCACCTGTATCTTGGCGTACATTTAAAGAAAGGGGAGTGAGGTGAGTTTGTCTACGATGGAGGCTGAATTTCTCCATGACTGAATCAGCAAAAGAATTAGTTTGGTTTAAAAACATCTTGGATGAATGCATTCAGTTTAAGATTGCAAGTAACTATGTTTCAAAACCAATATTGTTTGCTGATAACATGGCTGCTATATGTTTTACAAAATCACCCATTGAAAACTCAAGGACAAAACATATAGATGTGAAACTATTTTTCATTCGTGATCTATTATTGAGCAGGGAAATTTTTGATTTAAAATATGTTCCAAGTAAAGATAATCTGGCTGTTCCCATGACAAAACCGCTGACTAAGCATAATCTGATAAGATTTTGTGGAACAATTTTCTTATGAGATTTGTTTTTGTGTGTATTTAAATTAAGAGTTTTGTTTATTTGAAACTAATATGTTATAAGTCATATTATGATGGATATTAGGTAAATGTAAAACTGTATAGTGTAGAACGTTGTATGAATGACCAGGGCCCTGGATAAAAGTATTGAGTGTGTGATCATATATATGTCTTTGTATTGTTTTGTAACATGTTGAACTTTTTGTTATGGTAAATTTTTGAATAATGGGGTTAGATGTTCCCAAAGAAAATTTTTTTTCTTAAAAATTTTTGAATTGAACGAAACTGTGATATTTATTTATTCTTGTTTTGAATTTTGTAAAGATACTGGCATTCAGTTTTTATTTCAGGTTGGAGATGATAATGTGGGGGGGGGGCATTTGTTGGAAAATATAACTTATTGTAAACCTTTTACTGCATCATCTGTCCTCCTTGAAATATTTATTTAGTTTAGTTCTTATTTTAATGTAATATAGTAGTTACTTCTACTTCTTTTTCTTGCTGCCACTGTTTGCATTGAGAACGGACTGTTTGAACCTAATTGAAATGCAAAAACGAAACGTGATGTTACGTCATCTGAAAAGCCGATTCGTGCCGATAGCTGATTGGTTGCCATGAGATGACGTCATTCCTACTTCTGCTATAAGTATCTCGTGTCACTTTGGCTCAACCCTTCTAGTTCCTGCTTTCCTGGCACTTGAGTGAGTGGTTTCCAGCCCCTTCAGAAGGATGCATGCAGTCCGATGTATAAAATTTCCTTGTTTCCTGTTTGCGGGATGGCTGTTCCTGAATAAAGTTTGATGGTGCCTGTCCGCGGGATGATTGTTTCGGAATGAGTTCCTTGGTTCATATCCATAAGATGGTTGTTCCAGAATAAAGTTCCTTGGTTCCAGAAGCTACCATGTGAGTGACTGCCGTGGGTGGCATCCATGTTCTTCAATGAAGGCGGCATTTAAAACATGTGAGCGGCGATTCCGCGTGCAAACGGAGTTAGGCCGGTTTTAAGTGCTTTCAAGAACTTCATTTAAATTTTTCAGGTGTTTTCTCAACCATTGATCATGGACGTTTTGAATGTGTAGCCAACTTCATTTTTAGGCCGCATAATTAATGTTTAGGACATTTTTGTTTGTATGGAATGCAGTGTTTTGGAGACCAGGTAAAAATATTATTTGATGAATGATGATTATATTATATTTTTCCTAAGACTGATATTGTTTAAATTTATTTTCTGTATTTTTATTCTTTATTATATTGTTAATAAATTGGTTAAGTTCAAAACCTTTTATTGTCTTCAATGTCTGCACAACATGATATCTCAGGGAGCTTTTATTGCTACTACTGCTAAATGTTTAATTTTTTTTTCAAACTTTAAACTTTGCTTTAGCATCCCTATACAAAGCAGAGCTAGAGATAAAAAAGGAGGAGCGAGAATCTTTTAAAAAAAAAAAAAAAAAAGCAATTAAACATTGCCGAAAATAAAAAAAGTATTAATGGATTGTATAAAAGCTGCTGAAAAGAATTTAAAACTAGCTCGCAAACGGAAATTAGAAGAGTTGGCTGCAAAAGTAGCAAAAAAGAAAAAGCTTTTTCCCTAAAAAGTTTTAATCAGAATCGAGTGAGACGGACAAATTCCTCCTTTATCTATATGTTATGTTATTTTGTAACTATATTATCTCATATGACTACTTTTTCTAGTGTTATATAAAGTACTGTTTATTGAACTAAAAGTGAAGATAATTGAAAGCTATATTAACAGTTTATATATATATATATATATATATATATATGTATTATCTCTAGGTAGTATTGGTTTTTACAATTTAGGTAGTATTATATCCTTATTAAAATCATTTTTTTCCATTATTTTGCATGCAAGTCAGATCTTCTGTGTGAAACATCTGCATGGTTCTTTTTTTTTGGGGGGGGATAGAGTATGGGTAATTGCTGTGTAATTACTACTGACTTCTTCACATAAGAAAAATTTTGATTGAAAATTATGGTTTCATGTGAATTTTAGGGTTGACTTTGAGACTTCTGAAGGCTTTTTAGCTGCATGGAAAATATTTAAAAGCGCACATATTGTCTCATTCTTAGAAACTTTGTTTAACCCATTCGCTGCTTGTTTTTCAAGATACTGATGTTCAAATGTGTGTGTCTGATTCAAGTTTATAAATTTAATTGAAATTAAAAAATTATATACATTGCTACAATCTATTAATTACCATGTAGAACTCTAAAACAATAAATGTGGTAAGATGTTAGAATGACTTATGTTTTATGTGTTTGTAAATTTATAATTCATTTTCAGATCTTCAAAATCTCAAAATCATCAGAAAATAAAAAGCATGTGATGAATAAAGCCCCTATTAGAAGGAAGTCAAAACAAAAGATTGAAACGGACGATGAGGAAGATAATCATTGTTTCATTTGTAAAAATCCCGGATCTCTTCTTTTATGCGATAAAAAAGGATGTATCAGAGCTTACCACATTCGCTGTATTGGTATGGAGACCATACCAAAAGGTGAATAAGAGTTCTGAAAATTCATTATGTAATTTATTATACAAGGGAAAATAAAAAATTATATATATCCTTTTTTTCCAGTTTATGTACACAAATTAGGAATTGAGTAAGTGTTTTTTTACATGGTGTCTTTCCTTTTCCCTGCCCTTAACCAGCAGTTGTCACAATTTGTATGCTTCATTTAGCAGAAAGGTTTTTGGTTGGTTGTGCAATCAACATGCATGCAGTAATCATAAAACAGTATCATTTTCATTGATAATGGGCCTCATTGTTTAATGCGACCATAGCACCAATATTAAGATACTGTGTGATACACCTAAAGATTATGGAAAAGACAGGAATAGTTTTGTTTTCCTTGTTCAGTATTACTACTGTACTATAGCCACATAAAAATTCATAAATGCCTTACATCTATTTTTGCAGCTAATTTGAGGTAAGTTTTGTTGTTAAAATTTGAGTTCATGTAAGTTAGTCATCATAAGATAATTAAAAATGAGATGAAATAACTTTTTGGACTTCCATTAGTATTTTGGTATAAATTTATAAAATATAATTTAATTCTTGCATAATATCTTTGTATATTCTGCATATTCTTTAAATATTCGTAACTAATTTTATAATATTCTGCATTTTCCTAGTTTTATAAATTAATCAATGGTCATAAATTTATTAAGCATTTCTGTGTTTTATTGTGCCATGGGATACTTGCTTAGCATTTCCTGTAAACTGCATAATTGTTTTAACCGTTTTGAAGGAAAATAGTGCTTTTGCTGGTGCTGCTTTTCATTTTGTTTTATTAATTAAAATAGGTTTGATTTTATAACAGAGTTTAATTTGTCCAGTATTTTTATCAAATATTTGATGCATGACATCTTTATGTATCATTTTACTTTTTCTAAGAGTGAAACCTTCGCACAGGAAATAATTTCTTAAAAGCTGTGTAAAATGTGACATCTCAGTGAAAGCTCATACTTTCGTACACAACGGCTGTCAAATATTTACTCATAGAAAATCGCAGTTCTTTCTATTTTGTTTGACTGCATTTAATGTCAGATACAGTAGCTTTGACTTGCATCTTTGATAATTCAAGAGCAAAAAGAATTGACTGCAGAAATGTTATCCTTCTGATGACTGAAATAAAATATATGAGCTGTTTCCTATACTAAACTGTCTTCTAGCTAATATGAATTTTTTGGAGAGGGCTTTCTGTTTCCAAATAATTTTGTGTTGTAGTAAAACGTAAAGTCTGTGTAATTCTGAACAAAAATATAAAAGGTGCATTTTTTTTTTTTTTTTGGGTCAGTGATACTATGTCATTTGAAAGGCAATAATTATAACCATATTTCATGCTACATCTTTTCAGTATAGTTTGAGTGGAATACCTGTTTTTTTCTTTTTAGAAGTTGTAAAATTTTATGAGTAGTGAGTGATCTAGTTAGAATTCGCATTGAAGTGTCATTGAGATGTTATTTAATTAGATTTTGTTTCATTAATGTGCTAGTTTGTGTTGTAGTAAATGTTTTTGAATACATTTTTCTTTTTTCCCCCTTTTCTTTTCTTTCTTTCTTTTTTTTCGGGAAGGGGGGGGCAGCATTTTATTTTCTTGAGTGTTTTGTTTTTAAATTTATTAAATTTTTCCAAAAATTAGCTTCTATTCATTTTATATATCTCGTACTTTCCCAAGAAATAGTGTTTATTTGTTATCTCTCAGTTTGTAAAAGAGAAACTTTGTTCTCAAGACTTGACATGAACATAAATCATTAACATGTTTCTGGAAACAGGTGCTGCAGTGGTGAGTAACTTTAATTTCATCCATTTCCTCATGGCTGTTGTTGTCATTTTTCAATTCCAGACATACTTATATCTACGACTTATTTTGTGAGCTCAGTGAAAAGTATTCTATAAAATATTTCTGCTGCAGTAATGTATTCTGATAAATAATCGAGCCAGGTTTATTATCGAGGCAATCCCAGCATTTATATTATCCTCCTAATCGGTTTTTGAAGTGTTTGCTGCTTACCCTAGCATTCTTTGTGAATACAGTCAAAAGTTGTTAATTCGGACATCCATAATCCGAAATGATCTATAATCCGGACCTCAAAGCTACAAACTTTCTGCGCATGCACGTAAGTGTTGGAAAATATAACTTATCGTAAACTTTTTACTGCATCATCTCTCTTCCTTGAAATTTTTTTTAGGCTTAGTTCTTATTTTAATGTAATATAGTAGTTACTTCTACTTCTTTTTCTTACTGCCACTGTTTGTGTTGAGAACAGACTGTTTCAACCTAATTAAGATGCAAAAACGAAACGTGATGTTATGTCATCTGGAAAGCCAATTTGAGCCGATAGCTGATTGGTTGCCGTGAGATGACGTCATGCCTACTTCTGCTATAAGTATCTCGCGTCGCTCTGGCTCAGCCCTTCTAGTTCCTGCTTTCCTGGCACTTGGGTGTGCGGTTTTCCAGCCCCTATTGAAAGACGTATTGCGATGCGTGCAGTCCGGTGAATAAGTTCCTTGGTTCCTGTATACAAGATGATTGTTCCAGAATAAGTTCCTTGGTTCCAGAGGCTACCATGTGAGTGACTGCCGTGGGCGGCATCCATGTTCTTCATGAAGGTGGCATTTAAAATACGTTAGCAGTGATTCTTCGTGTTCAACTAATGTAAATGGAGTTAGGCTGGTTTTAAGTGCTTTCAAGAACTTCATTTAAATTTCAGGTGTTTTCTCAACCATTGATCATGGACGTTTTGAATGTGTAGCCAACTTCATTTTTAGGCCGCATAATTAATGTTTAGGACATTTTTGTTTGTATTGAATGCCAGTGTTTTGGAGACCAGGTAAAAATATTATTTGATGAATGATGATTATATTATATTTTTCCTAAGACTGATATTGTTTAAATTTATTTTCTGTGTTTTTATTTTATTCTTTATTATATTGTCAATAAATTGGTTAAGTTTGAAACCTTTTTATTGTCTTCAATGTCTGCACAACATATTGTCTCAGGGAGCTTTTATTGGTACCTTTAATAGGGTATACAGTCATATTTTTGCAAAAAGTAAATAGGATGTGAAAATATTAAACCCCCAAGAGTACTATTAACTTCAGAACTACCTGTAGTTTATATACCATATTGAGCACCCCCTGCAGATAAGAGTGAAATTAAAATACAAACAGACGAACCGCTCCATGCAGGTATACCACCACCATCATTTTGCCCTCATCCTGACCCAGTAACTTTAGCCTATAAAAGATATAAAATTTTAATTCAGACCCAGTTAGCTTTCGCTCTCCATGAGTTTTAATTAGATAAAAAATACCCACGTAAAATTATTACTGGCTGTTTGAGTTTTTAGTTTCACTTATTGATCAAGAATTAAGTAAGTCATATGACATGGATTAGTCTCGAAATATCAGAGAGAAAAGAGAGATTACTATTTTTAGAATACAGAGGGGAAATTAATTTATGCTGCTAATTTAAATTATATATTCCATATTTTATATTCTTTATTTTTCCTACATATTTTGGGGCTATTTCAAGAGGTTTATATTTTAAATAACTCTGCACACAGCAGACCAGCTAGGCCAAAGAGTAGCGAGCAAATGCATTATGTTCAGGATGAAATCTTAATTCAGAGTGCACTAGTTTGGTTCTCAATGCATTTTGATTGGATAATAAATACCACAGTAAAATTATTACTGGCTGAGTTTTGGTTCCATTTGCATTAGTAGAATTATGAAAGAGTCACACGACATGGATTAGTCTTGAAATGGTACGGTGAAAAAAGATATTACTACTTTTAGAATATAGCATTAAGCTGCTAATTTAAATTAGAATTTATCTTTTACACGGTCTTTATTTATCTCACATCACCTCCCCCCATTTAGGAGGAAAAAAACATGAGAGAGAAGCCTTTTTAAAGAAAAGCATTAAAACGGTATCTAATAACGAGCTATTTATGCTGTAAATAATAAAATTTTGAATAGCATAATTGATATACCCAAATTCATATTATCTTGCTTTAAACTATTATCAACTCCCCATTTTACCAAAATCAGTATCCAAATTCACATTATCCTCCCTTAAATTATCATCAGTTGCCATATTCCCAAAATCAAACTTCTTCTAAAAATGACAATAATTCAACTTCAATGATCAAGTAGAGAGCAATAACGTTCCTACTACTACTGACACAGGTAGCCAAATTAATTTAATTTCTGATAGTATTATAAATTATTGGAAATGAAACTTCTCGAAATTTATTGTCTCTATCTTGAAGTCTTGCTGTCACAAAGTTGTGCAAGGTTGGAAAAATTAGCAGAAATGTGATGTTTTACGCTGTTCTTATTTAAGGTTTCTACTCTTATGTTTGTCTTGTGTTCCCTAGTTTAAATTACAACTGAACATTACTGACTATGATATTTATCAATTTAAAAGAAAATTAAACTGAGGAAAATATTTAAGCAATCGTTTCGAGAATAATTTCTTGTATTTACTCGAAAACATTGAACTTGAAAAAGGCTGCATACATCCCACCTACAACACTAAAAAATCAGCAGGTTTTTTTTTTTTAAATCAGAAGTTTTTCAACGAGAAAGAGACTTTTTAATTAATAAAAATACCTGTACAAAGAAAATACATTTTTAATAATGAATTAAAAAAAATTAATATCTGAAAGTCTGGTTATTAGTTCTTAAATGAATATAATGCAGAAATACTTAATACCACAGTAAAATTATTACTGGCTGATAAAAAAATTATTACTTGTACCTTCCAGTAACAGAAAAATAATCACTTTCCCTAATCATTAAATAATACTTTAACAGAATCACTGAACACTGATTGCAAAACACGAATTAATGTAATTCTTAATTACGGAATTATGTTAATAACATTGAATGGTGGAAAAATGTAGCATACAAAAAAGCAAAACTTTTTGTTAAGATCCGAAGACTAAAACACAAATATTCGTTCTTTACAAGCTAAATATTCAATA